CCCCTCCAGGGATGGGGACTCCACCACTGCCCTGGGCAGCCCCTGCCAGGCCCTGGGAACCCTTTCAGGGAAGAAATTTCCCCTCAGATCCAACCTCACCCTCCCCTGGCACAACTTGAGGCCATTTCCTCTCATCCCATTGCTTGTTCCTGGGGAGCAGAGACCAATGACCCCTCTCTACCCCCTCCTTTAGGAGCTGCAGAGGGGATGAGGTCTCCCCTCACCTCCTCCAGCTGAACCCCCAGCTCCCTCAGCTGCTCCTCATCATCCGGCTGCTCCAGAGCCCTCCCCAGCTCTCTTGCCCATCTCTGCCCACGCTCCAGCCCCTCAATGTCCTTCTGGGAGTCAGGGACCGAAAACTGACCCCAGGATTTGAGGGGCGGCCTCAGCAGTGCCCAGCACAGGGGCACAATCACCCCCTTGGTCCTGCTGGCCACGCTATTTCTGCTACAAGCCAGGGTGCCATTGGCCTTCTTGGCCACCCTGGGGCAAGGAAACCTTGCAGCTGCTTAGAGCAGTGAACTGGAAGCGGGCTACAGCTGCAGGGACCCTCCGGGAAGGCTGGGATTGCGCCTGTGGGGCTGAGGGGTCCTGCTCAGTGCAGAGGAGTAGATGGGTGATGCCTGAGGCTCCCTCCAGCCCTGCTGCTGCCCTCAGAGCAGGCTGTCGTGCTGGAAGTGCAGAGCCACGCAGGCGCCATCCCGATTCCTTGTCAAAGGGGAGGTGTTGCATCTTGTGTACCAAACCAGCAGGGCAAAGCAGGTAATGAGTGCGTGAGCCCCTGCGCCCCACGGGCTGCCGAGATATCCGACCACGCTCTGCGCACACTGCTTATTTTCCCACTCAGATGCTTCTGTCGTTCCCCGTGCAGTGGTTATTGCTCTCCTGCTCGTGGCTCAGCAGCTGTGTCCGTGTCAGGCCTGTCCCTGGCAGACCGGCTGTCAATCCAATGAAGCTCCGCGCCGTCCGGTTGCTCGCTGGCTCCCACTGGGTCTTCAGGGCTGCGGTGTCATGGACAGTATCCCACGAGCTCCTGTGGTCTTGGTGGTGACAACAGGGATCTGTAGTGGAGCCCAGCGACCAGGGGCGGACGTGAAGACGGAGGTCTGTGGGGATGTTCCTGTCCCACTCGCAGTCCTCGTCTCCTGCCAGCACTCTGTCCCATCTCCACTGCCTGCCTCTGCCTGTGTCCCCAGCTGCCTGCACCACGGCAGGGGACTGCAGGCTGACCTGCCCGCAGGGCTTCTCCAATGCATCAGGGCCAGGAGCATAGAAATTCGGATGCTCTTTTGTGGTTGAGATACCTCAAAGTGCATTTGTCACCTGAATGGCCCTGCCTGTGCCTCGTTTCATGGCCAGTGGCTGTGCCCGGCTCATGCAGAGCTTTGCGAGGAGACCGAAGCGCGGCAGAGTGGCTGGGCAAAAGCCGCGCTGAGACCCGAGGCTAACCCAGATCTCTCTGATCCTTATTACGGACTAATCTCAGGTTTGTGGGGAAAGTTTCAGACCTTGGCTGCTGCACAAAGACAAGGACGGGCTGAGGTTAATCGTCTTGGCAGGGCGCTGCAGCTGCCTTCACCCTCGCTCCTTGTGTGGTTTCCCTTCCCCTGGCACCAAGAGGGGAAGCAGGAGAGATCATTTTAAATGTTCAGGTGGTTGGGAATTCAGGCTGTGGCTCAGTTCCTGGGGAAAAGGCCAAGAAGCTCATAAAGAGAAGCGCTTGTTTGGAAATCACTCGTGTGGGCTTTGTGTGCAGCTTTAGGGGTCCTGAGCTGCCCTGACCCAGTGTTGTAGGGTTCCAGCCTGACCCTCAGTCTGTGTGAGACACGGGACAGCCCCAGTGCTGGTGTTGTGGTTAATTGGCAGGCAGATAAGGCAGGAGGCCAGAAGACGGCCCTTTCTGCATCTTGGACCAGCTCGCTGTGCAAACCACCCTCTGTGCCTCAGTTTCCCCATCCCTAGAGCAACAGCGGTGATGCTGAGCGGCTCTCAAGGGTCCCTGAGGTTCACAGCCACGTGAAGCGATGGAGACTCCCAGACCAAGTCCCAGACACCTCCTGGCACCTTTGGGATGGGTCTTCTAGCACCTTGCATTCCCCCCCTGGTCCTGGGCTTGCAGGGCACATGAGCAGCTTTGCCATTAACCCCCTTGTCCCCTTCTCTGCGTGGGTGCAGGGGGCGTGGAGCCGCACCGCCCCCGTCTCCTGTAGAGACCCCGGTCCCCAGCCCTGCTGCTCGCTGGGGACGCAGCATCTCCTGTCTGCGGGGACGTCCAGCAGTGCCGTGTCTGGCAGAAAGCGATCCCAAACCCACCACGAATCCCACCCTGCCTTCCTCTGCTCCCTTTGGCTCCAGTTTAACAGGAAACCTGTTGTCTCATTGATTCAGCAATCCACGAAAATGCCTTCATCGTCTTTATCACGTCGGCCCTGGGCCACATGCTCCTGACATGCGTCCTCTGGAGAATGACTAAGAAACACACAGTAAGTCCCGAGGTACAGACGCTTTCCTTTCTTCTCCCTGTGCGGTGCTGGGTGCTGGGGAGGGGGCTCCCGGCTGGCACTGGGGTCTGTGGCTGTGGCTCGCTTGGGAAATAACCAGGAGTGGGTGCTAAAGGATTTAATGCCGCCAGGGGAAACTTTGAAAGGTGGTCACCAAAATCCATGGTTTACCAAAACAAAGCGGGAAGGGATCTTTCGATTTCCTGTTTTCTGGTTCTATTTTAAAGCTGATGTTTGAAAACCACCTCATTCGTGTCCTTGTGGGTCAGGTTTGATGACCCCTTCTCCTTGCCCGAGGATGCCTGTTTCGGAGCTGAAACCGGCGTCTCTGTGCTGGGGAACTGGGAACCTGCTGGTTCTGCAAACTGGAACGGCTGCCAGCAGCGGGCAGCAGACATGGTGTTATCCCTTTCCTCT